CAGGGGGAGCAGTTCCAGTGGGGCTTGAGGGGGACTGGGATGTTGTAAAATCTGGGAAGAGTGGATGGGAAAATGGGGTGGGGTGCGAGGGAATGGGGTCTGTGGGATTTGGGAATAAGGTCAGTGGCAGAGAGGATGGGGGGTTTGGGAAGAAATAGGGTCAGTGGCAGAGGGGCTGGAGGAGTTTGTGGGATTTGGAAAGGAATAAGGCAGTGGCAGGGGGCTGTGTGGGAATTGGGAAGGAATAGGGTCAGTGGCAGAGGGGCTGGAGAAATCTATGGGATTTGGGAAGGAATAGGGTCAGTGGCAGAGGGGTTGGAAGGGGTCTGTGGGATTTGGGAGAGGGGAGGAGAAGGGGATGGAGGGAGGAAGTGAAATAGGGGAAGAATGGCGGGGAAAAGGGAGGTGCTGAGGGCAGAGGGCAGCTGGAAGGGTCTGGGAGAAAATTGGGAAGAGCAGGGGCAACACTGCAGGAAAAGGTTGGGAAAAGAAGTGGGAATATTCCAGGAAAAGGTGGAGAAAGAGCAGGGGGAACATTCCTGGAGAAAGTTGAGAAGAGCATTTGGAGCATTCCAGGAAAATATTGGGAAGAGCAGGGAGAACACTCCAGGAAAAGGTTGGGAAGAGCAGGGAGAACATTCCTGGAGAAGGTTGGGAATTGCTGTGGGAACATTCCAGAAAAAGGTTGGGAAGAGCAGGGAGAACAGGGCAAAGGGTGATCCCAGCAAGAGCAGGATGTCTTGGGAATTCTGGGATAACTGGACGGGGAGAGCCTCTGGGATTTGCTGGATCCAGGAGCAGCTCAGGGTTGGAATTTCAGGAATATCAGTCTGGATCCAGGCTGGGGGAGCCCCAGGATATATTTATATAAAACTTTNGGAATCCTGAGGAAACAAACAGGCGGGAATCCTGAGGAAAGAGGCAGGAATCCTGAGGAAACAAACAGGCAGGAATCCTGAGGAAACAAACAGGCGGGAATCCTGAGGAAACAGGCGGGAACCCCGATAAACCCGTGGCGTTCCCGTTTTCCCGCAGATCCGTTCTTCGGGCAGCGCTACGTGCAGGTGCTGGGCCGCAGGAAGCTGTTCCACGCCGTGCCCTACCCCGGCGGGGCCGCCGAGCTCCACTTCTTCGTGGAGGGGCTGCGCTTCCCCGACGAGACCTTCTCCGGGCTGGTGTCCATCCACGTCAGCCTCCTGGAGCCGCTGACCGAGGTTGGGATCGCCGGGATCTCCTGGGAATTTGGCAGACAGGAGGCTGCACCCAGCAGATTGGGATGGCGCCAGAACAAGGGTGATCCCATCAACCGATCCCAAAAGTGGCCTCAGGGGAGGGTGTTTGGGGGGAATGGTGTGGGGAGTGTCCCTGATTTCTGCTTGGCTCCCTCAGGGCATCCCTCACTCGCCGATCTTCACGGACACCGTGGTGTTCCGGGTGGCACCGTGGATCATGACCCCCAACACCCTGGCCCCGGTGAACCTCTTGGTGTTCAGGTACAGGCAGTGCTTCTCCAGCCCTACC